GGTGCTGGGAACATGTTGCTGCCACAGCAGGAAATACCAGTGCATCCACTGTCTCTGGCCTGGTGTGCTGAGGATCTTCTTTAGGCAAAGCAGTTGCAGAACTGTGGCCAGCAGATGAAAAACCTTGTTCCACTGCTTTTGTTTCTTCAACTGGACTTTTTGGGATAACAGATAATTCAGATTTTCCTGTTTCTTGCTGGAAGGCAGGAGTGAGTAGTTCATCCATGTCATCAGTTATGTCCACTTCCTCATCATCTGACAACTTCTCAATTTTCACTGCATTCAGGTTGGGGTCTGCACGGCCTCTCAAGTTTCCAGCTTCCACCCTTGTCCCATCTTCTGTGGGGAGGCTGCTCCCACACTGACTTTGCTCTTCTTTTTCTGAATCACCATTTTTTGCCTTAGGAAAATATAAAACACATTTAGGAGGGAAAAGCGAACCAAAACCACCTGCCTCCCAAACAATCAGGACTGTTTTATTTGAACAGCAGATATTCTGAAGTGTTTCTTCTTCAATTTATCATTTTAATTTACTTTAATCCATTGCAACTAACTTTTACTCAGCATTATAAATATACTTAGGCCAAGTATAAATTTACATGTATTTCCAGTCAAAAAGCCCTAGAAAGTAGTTATTTCTTCTTAAAGCCCATGAATACTCAAATGAGGCTGTAGCTAAAAATACAACACACAGCAGAAAGAGCTGTGTAGTAGAAAATCAGTATTTTCAGACTAACAACCAACAGTGTAAGGGAACAATTATACTGCATTTATTGTTTAGTTATACCAGCAATAAAAACAGTGGTCACTCTAGGAATTTGAAATCAGGTCTGATTTCACATTTAAATCTGCAAATAATGATATTCCACTTCTCCGAATATGGGAATGATTAAAGTACCTGCCTTGACAGCAGTGCCCTGAAAAGACAGATTAAAACCAAGCTACCCAATGGCAAACACTTTTTTGCCAGCCCCAGGGATGCTCCACTGACCTTGTTCCTGAAGTACTGCCGAGCATAGCTCTTGACTTGCAGAACCGTTCGAGTGCTGATCAGTTTGGCAATTTTTGTCCACCTGCGGCCAAATTTCACCTGAAATAACAAAGCACGTGGAAATGGCCCCAACTCTGACATCCCAGATATGGCACTGCATGTGTCAAATGATTCAAAACCTCATTATTCATTAAAATGCACCAACACTACAGCAAACCCATGGTAAAGAACCTCACTATTTATGCTCTACCAAGACTGGAACTGCTTCCAGTAGTAAGAATTATTGCTCTTCTTAACTGAAGGATCTTCTTTACCCATTTCAGGCACTCAGCTGCCTGTTATCCCAAGGAATCCTTATGCCTAGCAATGCAAACCCTTTTACAATTGGCACAACCATTAATCTCTGCAGACCTGACAACAGTAAAGGATTTCACTTTATTACCTGATTTGCCTTAAGAACACACTACATTCTCATAGTTAATGCAGCATTGTGATTATACAACATGCTTATTCATGTCAACTACTTTACTGATCAAGATAAACTCAATTCAATTTAAAATACTATATATATATATATATATATATATATATATATGTATGTATGTATATATATATGTATGTATATGTATATATAAACAAACTCACCAGTCCTTGTTCAAACAGCTCTTTTTCCTCTGATGTCCACTTCAAGGAGCAGCCAGGTGATTTTGTAGGTGAACGCACCCTGGGAATGCAGGAAGCAGAAATCAGTGCTTTCCCAAATCCAGATATTCTCCAATCCCAGTCACTCAAGGCACTCTCTGACAAGAGGACTACTCCCAATCTTTGGCAAAACTCAAAGTATTGCTCTAAACATGAACGTGACTCATAAATAAAATACTGAGAATCACATCAGTTTCTCCATCATGATGGAAGATTCAAGGCAATTCAATATTCATCAATGAGCAATGGCATAGAAATACATCAAAGCAGGTATCAGAAATGTTCAGGTAAAATGGCAACTAGAATTAACAAATTTTTATCATAAAGACCACTGTGCTACCAAAAAACTGCCCAAAACCTGGTTTACTCTAGCCTCTTGTTACACACAACAATATTTCTTCCTGTTGAAAGGTCTCTTAAATAAATTTTTACAGCCAAACAAAACAAACTTTAAAAAATAGTATTTGGTAACTTAACAAAATCAGACACCACATTTAAAAATCCAATTCAATTGTAAAAATCTACATACATGACTTTTCCAGTTTTCTTATGTGGGCTGCAAATGCAAGAGTGAAAATAAAAATTAGTAATTGTGCTGCTGGTGCATATCCAGCAAATAAGAAGGATTTTAGAAGGACTTTTCACTTCTACTCAGCTAAGAATTTTTCCCATACAGTTCTTACCTTTTCACAGATCTTTTCTCTACTTCCTTTTGGTTGAGCCATATTTTTTCAGAAAGTGATTTATTAGATAAATAATATCTGAAATAGTAATTAAGTAAATTTCCAAAGCATCGGAGATATTTGTACATGTGAGAGTTTTAACAATCAGATAAATTATACTGCTTCAGAACTACCCAGCTGTAGAAACAAATACTGCAGTTTCTACAGCAGGATTTCTGCAATCTACCTAGAAGTTTGCAGGGCTTCAGTCACCTTAATAGGGAAAGATTTGTCCAGCTCTTTTGGAAATAGGAGGCTTTTTAGCTTTCTAAAGGAAAACATAAAACCAAATCAGCAAAAGGATACTCTTCCTCCAGCAACATCTTTTCAATGACAGCCCTGTTTTCTTCACTAATGCTGCTGTCCAACGTCCAGGGCTGCAAACAACAAAAACACGTTTTAATATCTGAATTCTGTCACACTGTACTTGAGTACTGAGAAGAAATAGTTTGTAAAAGTAAGGAAGAAGCACTGGTTAAAAACCTAAAAGAGCGTGTACATGGAGGGAAGAGAGAACACAGAAGCTCTGATAACCTTGCTACAAGCAGCTTTGATTTAAAAAATACTTACAAGACTGTTGCCAGTTCTCCAAGATGAATCAAGATAGTGATCCTGCAGCAGGCTTGATGCTGTGTTTTCATGATCTCTGAAAGAGATTCTAGTGTTCAGAACCATTGTATTTTTAATATTTAATGTCATTGAGGTGTATTATCTCCACTTAACATTTCTACAACTTACCCCCGATAAGGTAAAAGCATTTTCTTGTAAAGGCAAACTGCTTTTCCTGCTGAGGAGACCTACTTGCACAAGGTTTAATAGAATCCTGTCATACAGGGTTGTTAGAACCATAGAATAAAATCCAGGAATGGTTTGGTTGGAAGATCATTTCATTCCAACCATTCTGCCATGGACAGGGACATCTCCCACCAGACCAGGTTGCTCCAAGCCCTATCTAACCTTGCTAGGGCTCACCACCCTTACAAGGAAGAGTTTCCTCCCAGTATTTAAACTCGTACTCATACAGACTTCATCCAATTTATATTTAATCTTTTCTGTAAATAACTACTAATTAGAGATCTGTCACTGATTAACATCATTGACCAAGTTCCTTTTATTTTCATGCAGCATAAGATCTCCTTAGGAATTTGTGTAATTACTTGTTTTCAAAAATCTTTAATTCCAGAACATTCAGTCTTGTCTAAAGACTAATTAGCCCTCTATTCCCTGCAGCACTACTAAATTAAACTCACCTACTGCTCTGAACTGCTCTGTGCAGGAGTTCAAACATCTCTTTATAGGATAAAGGATCAGGATTACTCTCCATGTCCAAGGATCAATAACTTCAACTTCTTTTTGAGCATACCCAGGAGAGGGTGGGATCAAGAGCCCCCTTTGCCAGCAGCCTGTCTGCAGCAGCACCAGGGGCTATTTGAGGGCAGTGTCTCTGCTACAAACCTCTCCCTGCACCCACAAGCGCTCGATTTGAGGCACTGCAGTCACTGCCTACTCACTCCAGCATCCCTTATTTGTGTATTTGCTGAAGCCCAGAAAGCCAGTGGAGTTGGGCAGCATCAAAACAGTACGGCCAGCAGGACTTTACTCTGGTGAGACCTCACCTGGAGTGAGGTGCTGCATCCAGCTCTGGGGTCCCCAACATAAGGTGGCCATGAAAGTGATGGAGTAAGTCCAGAGGAAGCCATGATGTTGATAAGAGGAGCACCTCCTCTACAAAGACAGGCTGGGAGAGCTGGGGCTGCTCAGCCTGGAGAAGAGAAGGATGTGTGGAGACCTGATAGCAAAATTCCAATATCTGAAAGGGCTACAGGGAAGCTGGAGAAGGACTCTTTGCAGGAACTGTACCGATAGGACAAGGACTAATGGGTACAAACTGAGAGAAGGAAAAATTAGATTAGATACTAGGGAGAAATTCTTGAGGATGGTGATGCCCTGGCACAGGTTACCCAGGGAGATTGTGGATGCCCCAGCCCTGGCAGCGTTCAAAGGCAGATGGAATAAAGCCTTGAGCAACCTGCTCTAGTGGGAGATATCCCTGTTCATGGCAGGGGAGTTGGGATTAAAAGATCTTTAAGGTCCCTTCCAACCCGTAACATTCCACGATGCCGTTTTCTGCATCTCCGGGCGTTCAGCTTCCCGAGCCTCCCTCGCTAACACAGTTACACAACCCAGCACCTTCCCCGTGGGTATTTTAAGGATTCTCCCAGCAGCCTCGCAGCGCAGTTCCGGGCTCTGGGGGGATCCCATGAGGGCGGTTCCGCGTTCTCCTCTCACCAGCGCTACCACAGCCCCGTTCGCAGAGCCCTGCCCGGCGCTGCCCCTCTCCGCGGGCGCTCCGTGACACCCCAAGGTCCCTCCGGGAGCGGCGGGGAGCGCCCGGCCTGGGCCGCTCGCTCGGGAGGGGCTGTCCCCTCACGGCCCCCGCCCGCCGGGGGGCCGGGGCGCGCTGGCCGAGCCGCAGCGAGCCCCTCGCGGCCATCACTCACCCCGGAGCGGCCGCAGCGTCCCCCTCGATGTCCACCTCGGGCTCCTCCGCCGCCGCCATGACAGCGGGCCCGGCGCTATCGCGGGAAGGGGCGGGAGCGGAGAGGGGCGGGCGCGGAGATGGCGCTGGGGTGGGCGGAGAGCTGCGGGTCACGGCCGGGCAGTGTGGGGACACGGCCGGGCAGTGCGGGGACGCGGCCGGGCCGTGAGGGGACACGGCCGGCAGTGAGGGGACACGGCCGGGCAGTGAGGGGACACGGCCGGGCAGTGTGGGGACACGGCCGGGCAGTGCGGGGACACGGCCGGAAACTGGCGGGACGTGGCTGGACCAAGGAGACATGGCCGGACTGAGGGGACATGGCCAGACTGAGGGGACACGACCAGACTGATGGGACATGGTGGGCCACTGAGGAGACACGGCCGAACTGAGGGGACATGGCTGAACTGAGGGGACATGGCCAGACTGATGGGACATGGCCGGACTGAGTGGACATGGCTGAGAGCTGAGGGGACACGGCCGGACTGAGGGGACATGGCCGGACCAGGGGACATGGCCAGACTGAGGGGACACGACCAGACTGATGGGACATGGTGGGCCACTGAGGAGACACGGCCGAACTGAGGGGACATGGCTGAACTGAGGGGACATGGCCAGACTGAAGGGATACGGCCGGATTGAGGGGACATGGCTAGAATGACGGAACATGGCCGTGAAGTGACGGGACATGGCCAGACTGAAGGGACACAGCCGGGAAGTGACGGGACATGGCCGGACCAGGGGACATGGCCGGACTGAGGGGTCACAGCTGGGAGCTGAGGAGACACGGCCGGACTGATGGGACATGGCCGGACTGATGGGACATGGTGGGGCGCTGAGGACACATGGCTGAATTGAGGGGACATGGCCAGACTGAAAGGACACGGCCGGATTGAGGGGACAAGGCCAGACTGATGGGACATGGCCGTGAAGTGACGGGACATGGCCGGACTGAGGGGTCACAGCCGGGAGCTGAGGGGACACGGCCGGGAGCTGAGGGGACACGGCCGGACTGATGGGACATGGCCGGACTGAGGGGACGTGACCAGACTGATGGGGCATGGCCGGACTGAGTGGACATGGCTGAGACCTGAGGGGACACGGCCGCACTGATGGGACATGGCCGGACTGAGGGGTCACAGCCAGGAGCTGAGGGGACGTGGCCAGACTGATGGGACATGGCCGGACTGAGGGGACGTGGCTGAGAGCTGAGGGGACACGGCCGGACTGATGGGACATGGTGGGGCCCTGAGGGGACATGGCTCGGCTGGCAGCGAGAGGGAAAGGGGTGACAGGCATGGCGTGAGGCAGCAATGGGAGGCTGGAGCACACACCGCTGAGGGGCACCCTTGGAGATGTGTGCGGGTCTGGGCCCCTCACTGCGAGAAGAAGTGGAGGGGCTGGAGGTGTCCAGAGCTGGGAAAGGGCCTCAGCACAAGTGTGAGGAGTGGCTCGGGGGCTCAGGCTGGATGGAGAAAAGGAGACTTAGGGGGACCTTTTCTCTCTCCACAGCTCCCTGTCAGGAGGGTGAGCCGGGTAGGGGAGGTCGAGCTCAGCTCCCAGGGAACAAGGGACAGAACAAGAAGAAACCACCCCAGGTTGCACCAGGGGAGTTTAGATTGGATATTAGCAAAAAATTCTTCACTGAAGAGGTGATTAAACATTAGAACACCCTGCCCAAGTTGGGATAGGGTCCCCATCAACTCTAGGGATGGAGTGCTGTGACTGACAAGGTGATGCTTGGTCACAGGTTGGACTCGATGATCTTGGAGACCTTTTCCATCTTAAATGGTTCTGTGATCCTCTGAGCCCACACAGGCTGTGTGTCCCTATGTCCTACAAGTTCGTGGTCCTGTCTGTTCCTTCACCAGGCATTGCAAAGGTCAGGTTAAAGTGTTGTTATATCTGTTAAAAAGTCAGTTTTAGTCTCATGCATTCTTAAATCCGTGTTTCATTTCTCAGAAGATGTTTGGGTGTTTGTGGTAACGTGGTTTATGAGCTGAAGGGAAGTGTAAGGATTGATTATCATTATTAGGGAAATAACACCAGAGAACTTTCTGTTGATTCAGAAAGTCTTTCTGTTTCTATTTGTTTTGTCTCAATTTTGTTGTAACCTTTTTATTCTATGTATTTTATCTTTGTGCTGGAATGAAAGTGAAATTAATAAATGGCGAATGTGGTGGTTTTTGTTTTCTCTATTGAAAAATGCAAAATCTAGATAATGATATGACAAAAGTTTGAAAGAAAAGAAATTGTTAATAATTGTTGTAGTCTCAGGAATAAGGAAATACAGACATCTTCCTACTCATAATAGATGTTTTTTTAACTTGTGATTTTGCCAAACAATGCCTAACTAAGCTATCTATACAGGTTAATATTCATGGATATATGAAAATAGATTTTCTTTGTCTTGATGTATACTAGAAGAGGTCAAACACAGTATATTTAAAGTTAGAGCATTTTAAGTAGGTCCCAAATATGTGATTCATGAGAGAAGCAGAAGACTAATCAGTATTTAAAAGTTTAACAGTGTCTTTAAGATCCTTTTTTCCCAAGATTACCTTTGCTAATGTAATTCTGCCAGCTCAAGCATAATTCTCAATCATATTCCACATTAGGACTACCCAAATTACATTAAAGAGAATTCTACACTTCAGTGTAAAGCTTTTTTTTTTACATCTTCATTTTGTTATTAACATTTTCTTTCTCAGCAGTGTTAAAATTCGAGCCTGGTTTTCTGTCTTACTCAACTCCGCTACTTGCAGTGGAGTCTTTCTGAGGCTGTTGAGAGCCAGTAAATTTGCTTTTTCCCCTCGTGCCCAGCCGAGGAGGGCACTGACAGCGCCGAGGTGCCCGGCCCTGCAGGCACAGTGCAGGGCAGTGTCCCTGCTGCTGTCCGAGGCGTTGATGGCAGCCCCGTGGCTCAGGAGGAGATTTATCAACTCTCCATGTCCATACTCCGCTGCAAGATGCAGGGCTGTCTTCCTCCAAACGTTTCTGTCGTTGATGTTTTTATTTTTCCCCGAGGCCAGGAGGATTTTTAGGATGTCTGCGTTTCCTTTCATGGTGGCGTAGTGCAGCGGGGTGCATCCATCCATGTCCTTAGCTCCAGCTCTCCCTTTCTTAGCCAACAGCATTTCCACGATGCTGAGGTGTCCCCTCAGAGCCGCAGCGTGCAGAGGAGTCTTCTTCTCCTTGTCCTGTGCGTTGGGATCAGCTCTGGCCTTCAGGAGCATCTCTGCCAGTGTTTGGTGTCCCTGCTCAGCAGCCAAATGTAAAGGGGACTTTGCCTGCTTGTCCTGGGCGTTAACAGGAGCTTTGTGGTGCAGCAGCTGTCGGGCAACATCAGCGTGACCTCTGTGACTTGCCATGTGCAGGGGAGTAGCAAAGTCCTTAGTGACAGCATTAACTCTGGCCCCAGCACCGACTAAAAGGCCAACGAGTGCTCCATGATTGTGGAGAGCAGCAAAGTGGAGCGGGGTTTCCTCAGCTTGGTTCCTGAGGTTTGTGTCCATCCCCTTGCTCAGGAGCAGACCTGCGATGGAAGCAGCCCCAGCCTGCACTGCCAAGTGCAAAGCTGTGTCTGCAGCAGGAGTCCTTATTCCCAAGTTTGCTCCTTTCTCCATGAGAACTTCTGCTGACTCCACTTTGCCCATTTCACAGGCCAGCAGCAAAGGAGTGTAATGCTTTTTGTTGTGGGTATTGATATCTGTGCCTCTGTCAATTAAAGCTGCTACGACACTGTGCTGATTCTTCTGTACAGCTCTAAAAAGAGCTAACTCCATTATGTCAGCAGACAAATCTTTAGAATATTCCAGGAGTATTTTGAAGATGGATGGGTGGTCACTATTGAAGGCTCTTTCAACCGTGTTGGAATCAACAGTGGCTCCAGCTTCTAGAAGTACTTTTGCAGTGTTTTCAGATCCCTGAGAAACAGCATAACTGAGAGCAGTCTGTCCTCTCTCATCCTTTCCTTCCGTGGAGGCACCAGCCTCTAGAAGCATTTTGGCCAGGCTGCTGTCATCTCTAAGAGCTACCATGTGCAAAAAGTTGTGCTGATTCCTGCAGCTCCTTGCCTCTTCTTTCAGGAGCATCTTCAGTATGTGGCTGTGGTTATTCTCTGCAGCCCAGTGAAGGGCTGTCTTCCCTTCCTTATCCAGAGTGTGCAAGGAAGCACCACCTCGGAGGAGCAGCTTGACTGCACCTCCATGGCCTTTCTCAGCAGCCCTGTGCAGGGCTGTTCTCCCTTTCCTGTCCTTCACACCTGTCCTTGCACCTTTGCTGAGCAAATAGGCCATGATGGATAGATGGCCATGAGCAGCTGCAACATGCAGAAGTGTTTCACTGGAGGGGTTTAGCACATTGAGATCATTCTCCTTCAGTGTTTTCTCTAACTCAGGAAGGGAGCCTTTAGCTACTGCAGCAAAGATGTCGACAGCAGCAGGATCTTTTCTAGGCTTTGTTGCCCCTGAAAGTGGAGTTACTTTTCCTTTCTTCTTAATAGCCTCTTGGTGCTTTCTTCCCCCAGGTCTGTCTTTTTCCCCCTGGTGCTGTTTGCTGCTATTTTCAAACCAAACTTTATCTTTTTCAAGTAAATACCCAACCAGCTGTCTTCTGGCATCTCCAATGCTTTCATTCACTTCACTGACGTATTTTCTTATCTTGCTGTAAAGTTTTGGCTCCACTTGCTTTAAACATGGATAAAAAAAGAGCCTGCAGGCTCTTTCACCTTGAGAAATGAGTATGTCTAAAACCCGAGAGTTCTTTGCTGTTCGTGTCCTGTAGAAACTCAGGACCAGCTTTTTCTCTGGGGTAAAAATACCATTTTCTATCAGCCAGTGCAGGAGCTGGTCTGGGTCATTTATACCTTGTACAAGTTCTTCTTTTTTAGTCCTTAGGACTTCAATTGCATATGGATTTGTAAACAGGCTGCTTGAATTCATGATCATGTTGCTAATCAAAAAGTGAATTGAGATATTGTTTGACAGAAATAAATAGGAAACAGCAAAGCAGGCTCACATAATTTCAGTCTTTTCATAGAACTATGAACTAACAACCATTGTAGATCAGTGATAAATCTTTAAAGAAATCAAAACTCCCTCACCTTTGAGTTTCTGGTTGTTAGAAGTCCTTTGATCTTCTCTGTTCTTCCTTAGCAACGAGTACAGCTTAATAACAAAACAAAAGTTCGTGATATGTAAAGATATTTCACTTGGAAGTCTTCTTCCAGATTTTTAATGCATAATTAGGGATTCAAAAAAATGCTTTTGTGAATCTGATGTTTGAATAGAAGATAGCTGTTAGTCAAGTTTCTCTGTTCCTCTGGCCAAGCTGGTTCCTAAATGACCAGTCAATTAAACATGACAAAAGAAAATTCACAGCATAGTTACTGTTGCCATGATCACACACCTTGTATGATCTGAAATGAAAGAGTGCACACTGCCAGCTATGCAGGTGAAAACCCTATAATATAATGAAATAAAAGCATAAAGACCTAGATAAAAATAAACTGTATAAGCAGCTGGTTATAAAAAATGATCCAGCCTTTCTAATATGAGCTACAACTCCAGTCAGGGGTATATTTAAGGCCATTTAGCTTGTCATTCCTGCTCTAACCCAGAGTCTGTCTGGAAGTTAATTCTTTTCCATGAGGTGGATCAAGGCATGTGATTCAGTGTGCAATATTTAAAGTATAATTAGAGCTTCAACTCTGTGTAGTCTTCCATATGGATGTAGGACCTTGGGATCTAGCTGTAATTAATTTAACTTATTGGTGTTTAAATTCCCTATGGAAGAGAAGGAAATAAAACAGTAATTATCCACACATTTTGAAAGCAATTGAGAGAGAATTTGAGATTACAGAGTTTGGGAAAAGCTGGAGGTAAAATGAGTTGAAAAGCCAAAGCTTGACCTTATTTAAGCAAATGGGAAATTTTGCCATCAGTTTCTTATTTCAGTGCCCTTTCTGCTGGGTCCTGCTCCCTTTGCATGTATTTTCTTTAATAGTATGTACAAGGTGACTGATAAGAATTTTAATTTTTTGCTGTTGACTTTAACTTTATAAGTAAGATTGCAAAATTTATTCTATTTTAAAAAAAACTTTTATTGAAGAAAAAGCTGTGAAAGGCAAGGCTTTTAATATATATTTTGAAAGCCAGCCAGTTACCAAGTCAGCAAATTTGACAGCCAAGAACCCAGTAATTCCTCTGAAATGCAAAGAAGGGCACTACACCAAGAACAGCAAAACCTTTGTCATTTAGTTAATGATTTTAACTCAAGGCATGGTTTAATGTGGACTGAATGGTGTTCCCAAATCTGCCACAGACTCAGTCTGTAAGCTTCAAATTATTCAGTCTCCATATTTGACTGAATGAAGTCCTGAAGATCTCTCTGTGTCTTGAGTAAATCACTCCTTACTCATTTTGGGGCAATGGGATTTTTATGTTGTCATTATTATTCTTCCTTATTATGCTAAACAGAGATAACAATCCTTGATCACCTTCACAGGAAAGTTTGTGAGCTCTGGCAGTGGAAATGTTATGTGGGAGCAGAGTTATTACAGATGGCACAGGAATTTTTTGAACTCCTGAAAAAACCAGAAAAAGAAATGGTGATATTCTTTAAGATTGCATTAGTATGGCAGTAATTTCCCAGTGCTGTGAATACAGGAATTTCCTTGGTAAGCAGGTCCTAGTAGAGATGGAAGGGTGCAGTTCTCCTCCCTGGCCTTGAGGAGGAACATTTGAACAATATTTGCAGGCAGCATCTCTTTCAGAGCCACTTCACTTTATTTTGGAAAGTAACAAGCAGCAAATGATTTGTTATGAGATGCAAAACAGAGTCCTCAAAATATAATTATGCATTTTTAAAAAAACAAGTTTCTCATTATAAATATGTGACTTATGAGGAAATTCTGTCTTAAAGCAATAATCATATTTGGCAAGAAAGTTTTGGAAACTTGTTGTATAGATTTGTTTTAAGAAATTATTACCTCCTATTTTTTAATTATTATTTTAACCACTTTTAGTATTAAGCCTTTGTCTCAACAAAGACTTCACAAAGAGATTCAGAATTGGCTATTTGAAGCTTGCTTTTTTGTTTATATCTTTTTCACTTACTAACTCACTTTATTTGACATGTAAATGTTTTAGAGAAGGGAAAAATATTAAGGCTCAACACCTCTTCTCTTTTAATTAAGTGTAAGAGACCACAAATATGTTGGATCAGCAGTAAACTCCACATTAAAAATAAAATTGGCAGTATTTAATATTACTAGAGTTCTAAGAAAAAAAGTAAGTTGGAGAGAAGGAAGAAGCAAATCTTTGGACTTCTTTGTTATCTTTTATATTTATTTGTTGTCAGAGGGGCATAAGGTACTTCACAGACCATTTTTATTTCTGCTGGCTTCTTTAGCTCCCATGTTTCCAAGGGCTGAATTATTAGAGTATTTTAAAAGGCTATTTATTAAGTTATTTTAAAAAGAAAATTGCAAGCTTTACTTAATTTGTAGATTTGAAATGCAGGTGATGCCCTTGATAGGAAAGACATAAATTTTGGCCTCTGCTGCAGAAGTGTCTGTGCAGGGAACTGTTTAAATCTGGCTGTAGCTGGGACACTTGAGTCAGTTATTTTTGACATGCAATCTCAATTTTGCTCCTAACTTGTGTCCTTGGGCAAATCCCTTAATCCCTGTTCACTGTTTACACAAGCATTAAAAAAGGAAAATTATTTTCTACCTCACAGACACGTCCTAAGTGTTTATTACTGTTGGTGCAGTGCTTTGAAGTTATAGAGTGCTTTGAAGTTTTGTCCTTTGAAGTATTGTTTTCTGACTTCTCAGCGATGAACATTTATTTCTTAAATTAACGCATGCCCGTGTTCTCGAGCTGATTTGATGTTGCCATGTCATCATCAAATATACATTTAATTTTCTCTATTTTAATTTCCCAAGGATGAAAGCGACCCAAAGTACACCTTGAGTGTGGTGGAAGGAGCCTGGGAGGGGATGTGGCTGCGGGACTGAGGCACCTGCAGAGGTCACCATTCCTCCACCGAGGCTCTCGTTGGGAACGGATCTCGCTGTGGAATAACCAGCCTGTAAGAGATAATGCAGCCAACATCATTATCTAAACATCGTGAGGACTGCAGAAATATCTCTGGGTAATCAAGACATTTTCCTTGAATATGAATTTTCATGAATAGAGCTCTGCTTTGGATAACCAGCAATCTGAGTGTGGCCGAGCTGGTTGAGGTGGAACTATATTTAGGCAGAGCTGGATTGAGAAACAGCAGAGCTGGAAGAGTTCATGGTGATGATTACAGTGAGCTCCACTTGTTAGAGCTGAGCAGACAGGATGTCTGCAAGAGGCAAAGTGCACAGCTTGGTTTTGCCTAAAGATGAACTGCAGTAAATGAGGGGAATCCAAAGGGGAGCTTTGGTGCTGAGTGATGAGTTTGTGTCATATTTCTGTGGAGCAGGCTCGGGGCCTTCCTGGCTGGTGTTGAGATGGGAGCTGTTCCCTAGGGAAGTGCCATCCCCAGTGGTACATGCAGCAGGACTCAGGGGCTGAGCAGGGCCTGCTGAGGGCAGGGAAAGCTCATTTGGGCAGTCTGACAGTGTTCTGTGCCTGACTGAGGCTCCCATCCCACCCCATCCCATCCCATCCCATCCCATCCCATCCCATCCCATCCCATCCCATCCCATCCCATCCCATCCCATCCCATCCCATCCCATCCCATCCCATCCCATCCCATCCCACCCCACACACCCCTTGGTAGCACAGAGCCACCTCTGCAGAGCCTGGGGCAGGCACAGTGCTTGAAAGAGAGACCTGCAGAAACCACAGCTTCCCACATTTGTCCACTGCTTATGGATGCTTTCAAAATCCCAATAATGCAGCAGCTGGTATAATACTCCAGGTATTTTATTCTGTTTCCAAAACAATCCACAGATTTATCTCAGCCCTGTAGGGCTGTTTCCTCAGGCATAAACAAATGAAGGTCACACTAAGCCCTGCACCCATGCAATGCAAACTGTTCTTTTTCCCAAAGATTAATGAGTATTTCCATGAAGTTCCCAAGCCAGGGTAGCTGTGAGTGGACAGTGCACATCTGCAAAGTGCCACTGAAGGCTGTAAATGCCAGCAGAGCAGGCTGGCTGCATCCAACTCCAGGAATGAGGCTTAATAAATACTTAACTCAGCCTAAGTGAGGATTAGGACTGTTTTCCAGTTTATCATGCATTTAGAAGTGAATTTAAGAAGAGTGACCAAACTACTTAGGAACCATTTTTTGTGTCATTCAGGTTTTGAATAATGAAAGTATTTTTCCTAAGTTCTTCATGGCATTACTTGCCAGGTTGTTTTCTAAAAAGCTACATAGTGGAGGTTGAAGGAAAAAAAAGTTGCTAGTTTAGCTTCACAGAGGTAAAGAAAAGAAACATTCTTGTTTCAGAACATAATAAATAAAATAAAAGTTGGCTTGAAAGAAAGAGAAAAAATTATTTGATGAATGATATATTTAGCTACTGCAACTTTCATAATGCAAGCTTAAAAAAATAATTTTTGTGTCTAACTGATGATTATCCTATCATTAGTATAAAATGTAAATTATGTAAAAGTATTGAGTTACTAAATGCTGAGGCAGCTTCCAGGATCAGCAAAACCAAATGGAGAGGGACAGGGGTTTTCTCCATAATGGGCAGATTTTTTTGCATTGTAAACCAAAAAAGCCCTTTTGATTTTGAGTCAGGAACATGCACTTTGTCAGTGAAATTTTACATAAGAAAATACTCTAACGGGTGAAGACAGTGAGGACCTTCCTCACAGCCCCAGCATTGCACCCAGAAGGGTGTGGTGCTGTCAACTGCATCTCCCAGAGAAACTTTCTGGCCAAATTTGCTTTGTAGGGGTTGAGTACTTAGTGAAAACTATTCTGAAATTACACCAGTACCAAGCAGCATTTTGTTCTTAGTGATCATAAAAATCTATCACCAGTACATCTTCACTGTTATATCTAAATCTTTCTATCTATAGCACTTTCCTAGATTTGGACAATTGAAATTACTCAAGGGGCTAGCTTGTAGCCACATTTTTTTTTTAAATTTGGTATTATTTTCCTTTCTTCTTCTGGAAAAAAAAAAAAAAAGGATATGGAAGCAAATGCTTGTTCATTTATTTATTCCATTTGTCTTTATTATCATTTAGTAGAACTCCAGCCTGATCAATTTGAAATAATCTTGGATTTTCAGTTGCATTCAATTTTTATTTGTTATACATCAAAATTAAGTTTAGCTTTTCTGCTGTAGCAGAAAATCTCAGGCATGTAATTGTTTCTTTCTTATTGATGTTTTAGTCTGTTCTCAATTCTGTAATTTAGTATCTTTTTCTCAGTCTCTCAATATTTCTCATTCAGAGGGATATAGAATTGATTCTTTCATGTTATCTCCCTTTCCCAGTTCTGGCAGCTTCCCCTGTCCTCTGTTTGAATCCTCTGCCTTTAACTGACTATTTTGGTTCCCCCAGAAAGTGTCTTCTTGTATGTCAGGGTCTGGATTCCTGCAGCTCACCTCAGCTCCAGGTCAGCAGAGGATTCAGTTACACACCCAGCTCCAGAGAGGTGCCTCAGAGCAGTGCCAGTTTGACTCCCAGGACCTTAGCAGCTCCTGACTTTTTTCTGAGTTCTGAATGAAGCTCCAGCACTGAGGACCTGATTCATTGGAGCACTGGCCCAGGACCTCAGCTGTCCTCTGGTCTGTTTGACTCTGTGAAAAACACCCTTGTTGATTTGGAGAGCTCCCTAAATCACAAAGTCCTGACAACTCCTCCAGATTCATGGTGTTTGCTTTCCTTGGCATGTCCCAAAGCACCCTTCTGTGTTGGGCTGCACCTGTGATATTCCAGCAGCTCCCTTTGTTCCCAAGCCATTATGTCTTCCTACTCAAATTTCCATTCAAAGAGTGATTCATGCAGCAGGGGAAAGCCATGACCTGGCTGCCCCCTCAGTTTCCATCACTGTGCACATCATGTGCAGTCCCATCCGAACTGTAGCTTTCATTTCAGATTTCTCTATTCCCATGCCTGAACTAAGTCTTTTATTCCTTACTCCTCTAGTCTGCACTGGGAACAGAGAATTATTTGCTACATAAAGAGGTTTTTGGGAAAAAAAAAAAAAAACAACAAACCTAGATTTGGTCACAGGAGTAATGCAAACACAGCAGCATGGATTTTGTATTCCCTAGGAATGCCTTTTCTCACAGGGTTGGTACCTGTGCCACAGCTGCTCTGTGGACAAAGCACAAGTTTGACTCATTATTTCAGCATCCTTTTTATTTAATAAATAATAGCTTCCATAACTTGAATGTTTGGTTCTGATGTCCAGCTGGAGAGAACTGCACACCTCCACCAGCAGTTTTTCCAAGAGCTGCATCTCTTCAGGCATCCTTCCTAAAGCTTTTGAAGTCTTCCCCAGTCCCTGCACTGCTTTCCTTTTCATCCTTTGAATTGCTACCTTATGGCTTTTTGAGTCTCTTCCACACTGTCCCTCTAACCTCAACACACTCATTTGTAAATTCAGTTTCCTTTACTGAGCAGTTGAAGCATTCCCTGTTTGAGAAAGTTTTAAAAGACTTTTTGGTTTGTGCTTTTTAAAAATTTTATTTTATTTTTTGGCTGGTTTGTGGGGGGTTTTTTTCCCTCTCCTTGCCTAAATAGCAATTCTGGGTTCACAAGACTCTGAGGTTTAAATTGAGTTCTCTGAGACTTGTTGGACTCCTGTCAGGTGATGTGGTAGATGCTGAACAGGCATCTAGACCCACTGTAATTTACCTGTAAATGTATTTATATATCATAGTTCCCAGTGAAGCAAAACCCTTGGCTCAATAATAGAAACAGTAATATTCCCACTAGGGATTTTAGAAGAACCAGATTAAGGAAAGAATAGTGATTTTTTAATAGCTAGAATCAACCTTCTTTTTCCCTTGTGTCACAAGACACGGGGAAATCTCAATTTCAATTAGAAGTTAATATTGCATCATGAAAATGGGATAAACATGACATTAAGAAGTGAAAAGAAGGGATATTGTAATGAGAGCTCAAGTGCTTTTAGTGACTTCTTGTTTAATTCCATAAAATAACCTCTATTTAAACATTATCTGAAGCAGCCAGAGCTTTCAATAGAATTCAGAGAAAATCTGCTGGAGACTGTACATGGCCATAGCAGATTTCCTAGAAATATTACCAAATTGAACTTAATTGTAGCAGATTACATCTCAAGTTTGCATTTTTCAGTTTGATTTACTTTTGGTATTACTTTGTTTCTGAAGCTTTCAAATCAAAAACATTCTTTGTGCTCCCTAGGCTTGGTTTTGTTAGTTTATTTTACAACAGGATGCATCAATGTCATCTACATGTGACTTTCAGTTTTGCTTGAATTGACACCAAAACCAAGGTGGTGGTTGGTTCCCCCTTCCCCTCTTTTACTCACTGGCATAATTTCCATCCAGCAAAGCTTTTGAAAAATAAGGAAGGAAAAGGCCTTCCTGTACAAGCTACCTGTGAATCCCATCCAAATATAAAAGACTTGTGTAAAAGCTTGGCAGGAAATCCCAGCATATGCCACTCAGTGACTTCCTTATTTTATGCTATCATTCCACGTAGAGAAAATGAATCTGAAAATCCCAGCAATTTCCATTCATTTTTGAATACGAAACTGTAAATGGTAAATTTCCTATCTGTGTATAACACCCACATTTTAAATCAAAAGTCTTGAATGCTGACAGCATTAGTCATAGGAAATCCTGTATGAACATCCAGCACTTGAGTTGGACCTTCCCCTGGATCACACCATAGAAGGAGTTTACAGGAAAACATTCTGTTGCTCTCAAATCCTGTGTTGATTTTAACCCTCTACCTGCCATTGACTCTAGTATGACAGTACTTTTTTTTTTTTCTAAAGGCCATTTGCCATTTTCTTGTGATCAAAATGGTACTGAAAAACAATATATTTCAATGTTAAAATTGTCTGTATTTTAATAATACACCAGTGGCATTCTGTAGTACAGATGTGCACTTCAACACCCTCCCTTATGAGCACAAATAATCTTCAGTGAATGCTGTAATTTGAATAAAAATGCCTATTTAGAATATTATATTTTTATGTTAATATTAATATATTAATTACCAGCATGAAACAAAGTGCACAGGTCAGTAAAAATGGAAAGCCAAAAAAGCCAACAAAGCTTTGTACATTAACCCATGACATGGCCAATGCAATACCAGCAACAAACCCAGCTGTGCTGCATGGGATCATTTTCACATTACATGGCTGAATCAACTGTGACAATTTCTTTGCCTTTATTTAAAGGAGCTATCTCTCAATGGGCATAATATATCTTTAAAAATAAAAAAAATCCTGCTTATCATTTTCATCTAGTGGGAAAATCCCACACATGCTGAGTTAGTGTGGAACAGCTGGCTTAAATTAAAGCTTTGGACTAAGGGAAGGAATCTTAGAACATAAAGTATCAAATAATGGCTAAATTCCAGATTAGGATGAGGCTTGTAATGTCAGGCATTATTGTCAGGCAAGCATATATTAGGCAAATGGACTTGAAGAATCTTAGGTTTTTGTAATGTGGTGAATCTTAATAGTCCAGTTTTAGAACTAGAACCAGCAATGTTTAAATATAGTTTAACCTAGTTTGATAAATAAATCAAAATACATTTTAATATATCGTTGTTCATATGGGACAGGTTTTGGACTATGAAATACTGATGGATGTGCCCAAAAGAAATTGAAAGCCATTGAAAATTCTTAGTGATTGAGAACTCTGCTTTTAGTTCTGACTCTTCTCTAGACTTTTGAGTCTTTCATAAATTTTTGGAGCATCATCATTTAATGATAATTTTTAGTTTAAGGCAAAAGTCATTTTTACTACATGGAGTGTCTGTTTGTTTTGAACCTGTACTTATAGAACTTTTCTTTTTGAACTCATAGGCTCATGGAATCATTTAAATCAGAGAGTGAAGTCAGTATCATTTTGAAGATCCAAGCAGAGGGAGGATTTAGACCAAGACTAAGTTGTTTGGTCTGGGGGCTTTTCAGCTTTGTTTTTTAAGCCAAGACCTGGCCTGCCTGTAAAAAGGAGAATTAAGCTCAGTATTTGTACACTGCAGATCTCAGTCAGCAGTTATGGAAAGCTCTGTGTGCAACTATAAAGGAGCTCCTCATGTACAGCTGTAGCTGGAATTAGAACTCAGATTCATTACTGATTGTGCTCTTGGCTGCTGTGGTATCAGCTGAACCCCAGAAACACGGAGGAATCTGGGTTTATTATTGTGTGTTAATGGCAAGGTCTTGCTTGTTCCTGTTTCTGTACAGTTGTAAAGACAAGCAGTTTTATTTCTTCTCAATTGCCGTAGATCACAACTGCCAGCAGAGGAGTGAGACTCTCCTGGAGAGGCAGGAAGGGGTGAGATGGTTGGCAGTGCTGTCCTGGATTGATGGGCAGTGTTAAAAAGGGGATAATGGGAGCTTTTCTCTCTTAGATTTGGCTGTGCAAGTGTCAAAACACGCAGAAGTAAATTCCAGGAGGAAGCACCATTAGAAAGGCTACAGAAAATCAGGTGGCACCGAGCTGCTGGTGTTCCTCATTTCCAACAGGCTTGAGAATTGGGCTGTTTGTAACAGAAAAAAAGAGTAACTTTAGAAGATCTTTCTTTCCTTGAGCTCATTACTTTGTTGCTTTTGTCGCTATGTTGTGATTGTTACCTTTAGAGTTTGATTGGAACCGTAACTGGCATTGCCACTAGGAAATAGGAGTTGTAGATCCTAAATGTGAGAGCTTTTCGTTGTTGCCACATTCAAACCACAGCAGCAACCATTCACATTTAGTTAAAATCCGAGCCTTTCTCATGCTGCCAGCCTGGCATTTCCTGTGCAGTGAAAAACACAGGAGCAGTTTCTGCATGTGAGGATGATAATGCAGCAAACAGAGGGGGGCAAGGAAATAGCTCGAAATTAATTGTGGGTGTGGTAGTGTACTTTGTAAGTAAATTCAAAACAGGCATGGAAGCCAATATCAGGAACATGTGCAAGAAATTCCATTTATAAGACTTGGAATAATAACCTCACTGCCCTCTTAAATAATTTTAAACATATATGCATAAAGTTAGTCATCTAACAAAAACAGTTTCATAAGCAGGTACAGTAATGTCTCACAGTTCTCGTTCAAGTTAATGGCTGCATGAAAAAAATTTCCCTGGGAAAGTCAAACCATGTTTTATAGGTTTGTCCATATGGAAAGCTAAGCTTGTTTAACCAAAAGTGTGAACTTAAATTAAGTTAGCAAAACTGGTGTAAAATCTGTCTGGGCATTTTTGTACTGTGAGTTCCATTGAAAAGAATGAATTTAGGAGTTCTGGCTTGATCTGTGGCAATCTGGATATTGCTGTGAGCATTTCTTTCAGGAGATGCCACATCCTGACTGCCTGTACCTGCATTTGTGTTCCACCTCCCCAGTTGCTTCAGGTGTTTGTAGAGCTCTGTGGGTAACAGAATAAAGGGAGCAATGCAGGCTAAAATATTCCCAAAAGCACTACCAGCACAAAAAAGGGAGTGGAAAAGAAAAGGAGAAGGAAAAAGTTGGTGGCTTAGGCTGACACAAAGGTAGAAAAACATACTTATACATGTAAAAGGTGAGCTCCCTACGTGCAGGACATGCCTCTGAAGGTGGTTGCAAGTCACAAACTGGCACAGAAACCTGAACTGCTTCCTTGGTGCCTTCATCAATCACCAGCTAAAGCTACCTGAAGTCGTTCAGCGAGGCCCTGGGTTGCACAAAAAGACAGATGTGTACACTTGGACCACTTTGAAAACATCAATTTGAAAGAGATAGAGCAGTGTGACTTTCTTAGAAAATGAAAATTTAATCTCAGATAAGAAAAAACCCAGCTCCTTCCTTCCTTCCTTCCTTCCTTCCTTCCTTCCTTCCTTCCTTGTTTCCTTCCTTGTTTCCTTCCTCCCTCCCTCCCTCTCTTCCTGCCTTCCTCCCTTCCTCCCTCCTTCCCTCATCCATCACTGGCCTGATTTTCAAAACTGGGATATTTAGATTCTTCAGGACTTGTGCTACTTTGTTGATAACTGATAGTATTTTGAGAAACAGCCAAATTGGCCAATTTTATTGTTACTTCTCCAAAATTACACAGAACTTAAACTGTCAGTAGTTTGAAGTGTAGTGAGGAGCACTTCCCTAAATATACTGAGCTGAGGTGGTTTTTGGAGTGCAAAAGTGGGAAATAAAATCCAGAAGTCTTTAATCATGCTGGTGTATTAAAACCACAGATATATCTGTCTAGAGAAAAGCTGCCTGCTTTTCCATAGGTCACACTCCTGAGAACTGGAAATTGTGCTGTACCAGAAAGATACTGGTTAAAAATCTCTGCTTCAAAGAAGAGCAACCTGGGCAAAGAACATTAGATTCTGATTACAATTCATCATTTAAAGAACATTAAATTCTACTTACAATTCATCATTTAAAGAAGGAAATTTGATGTTGACTTTCCAGGGGTTGGTTTTGGTCAGTAACCTTTTTGAAGACTAACTGCAAATCAGTTCTGGAGTCAGCTGCACTTACTGTATATTTTTACATAGGTTTTTTTGTAGTTTTGCATATTAAAGCACTTGCTTAACTCATTGAAATATATGTACTTATAAATACTTTATCTTATTCAGTCAGGAAGCAGGGAGAACAGACAATCTGTATGATTGAGAGCAGAGCCAAACAAGAAAATTGGGGATGGATTTTGCCTGAAGAATTCAGGTTCTTTTTTTCCCCTTCAGGTATTTAGGTCAGACACTTGGTGATTATTAACAAGATAAAGATCATATCTTGACTGGGGCCCTGAGACACCACTGGAGGGTTCATTGTAAGTCTTGTTTTTAATTACTTCTTGCAAGGAGTTTTGCACAGTTAATATTTGGGGATAATATTTGGATAGGAAAAAAAAAAAGTGTACATTATGTATAGGCTGCAGCAGAGTACAGCTTTGCATATGGAAATTTGTTCATCACTAACACGTGGTGGATGTTTGCAAAATGTTCTGTGTAGTGAATGTCTCCTGATTCTAATCAGGTAATTGTTGCTCCCTGGTTTCATCCTATCTGACTGGAGGCTCCTAAGTTAAAAAAAAAAAACAAAAAAAAACTCGTTGCTGAGGCACAGGCACTTCAAGCAGCAATTTAATTTATCCAGATCACTCTCTGAAGGGGCCAGTGCTTTTCTGTCAGCTATGAGGAGAACCAGTGGTGCCTCCTATCCCAGGTTTGTGAGGTGTCAGAAGTTAAACTGAATAAATCCTGAGCTGTATCTCCAAAGTGTTGTGGATTTTTGAGTCTGATTTCTCCAGGTGAAAATAAAACAACTCCAGAGCTTTCAAGGTGTGTACAGCAGCTTACAAGTTTTGCTGCTGTTGAAAGTTCTAAAACTACTTTTGAACACAAATGACAAGGAACTTCTCCTAGTGGCCAAGGTGGTTTGATTTGCCATCACATAAAGCCATCAGCTTTGATAATCCCATCACTTGAAATAGGTATGCCCCAATTTTGGTAGTGCTTGGCTATGCTTTTTAAACTTACCAGTGATCCATTCAGTGGAGATTCAAAACTTGTTCAGTTTTTTCTTTTCAGTACAGTGCTGTGTGAGAGAGAGGCTTTGTGAGTTTGGACAGCAAGGTAATTGGATGGTCCCTGTGTGGTGTGTGTTTTCAGGACTTGTTATCTGAGGCAGAAAGGTGTGCTAACAACAGCCATCTAAAAGCCATGCCAGCTAAGCCATCACTGGGGAGGAGAATTCACAAAACCAGCCATGGACACTCAGTTTGAACTCTTACCATCCTCTGATGTAACTGTGGTTATTCTATGACTAAAACCATGCAGGATCTCGCTCTTCATTGCAGTGGTTATTTTAAGAATTCAAGAAAGCTGTTAAAATTATTCTGGTTTTAGCTCACTTGTATGATAACAGGTTTTATCTGAAGTATTTTTTGGTTATTACACCACCTAAACAGAGGCTCCTATTCCAGGCATCTGTGCAGCTGGTTCCAGGACTATTTGCTTTTGAGCTCCATCTGCTGGAATTCTATCCTGTTTCCCACATCTTTGGTGTTATTATGCTGCCAGGTCTCACAGGAATTGCTTTTAATTAAAAAGAGAATAAGGAATGAAATTCACAGTTCAGAGGAATTTTCAGCAAGTTGCTCATCCTTTTGTTTAAGGGCTCAACTTAGAGATTGCTTAGAGAATATAAGACTCAAAACCAGAAAATAATTGCGAGACTGAGGAAA